CTATTATCTTTTAACTTATTACGGAAAAACTTGATTATCAAATTGCAGGTTTTTTGAATTTGCCGAAAAATTGAAATGGTGGTTAGGAGGTCGTCTACTTCAACTTACCTGAAGTTCAACTTAACGTTCTGGAGTTAGATTAGCATAGTCCGCGGCGCGAAGTGCCGTGCACACCTTCAATTTACATGCGGAACAAGTTACTCCCAGCGACCGCGGGAAGCAACTTCGACTGCATTTTTTCACTTCAAACTTACTTCTACAAATTTCCTTCTATGCCTATCCTATTTCCCCATTCCCCAAAACTCTATAATCACCGTTTTTGCAGAAAAAAAGGCTGGGACTAGGAGTATATGAGTGGGCCTACATAAGCTACTGTTGCCGAAGTCTCTTTGCCAGACGTTTCGCATCCTGGCTTGAACCCTTCGTCAGAGATAACCGCAGAATGGGGTACTAAATGTACATATAAGCAGTTGTGTACGAAGCAACTACGTCGGAGGAACCGGGAAGTTACTCCGCACGCGAATGGCTGAGCACGCAGCAGCGATGAGGAGGAGAGACGCTAACTCCCAGGTTGCAGCTCATTCGACGGGACCTGGCCATATTTTCAAGTTTAACGAGGCCGAAATCCTCGCGAGGCGCGAGCTGCTCGAGTCATGGTTCTCAGGCCCACAGTCAATCAACAAGCGCAAATACTTGCCGTTCCCATACTCTATACTGAGACATTTTCGGAGAAGGAGAATCGGTCACGTGGGAGGAGCCGGATCCATCAACAACTCCGACGACAGCGGGGGTAATTTTAGCGCAATTACCAAGCTAGCATCCGACAGGGGTGACGAAATCACGGCAATTAATGACTCGGAAGCGGACAGCCAAGCCATCACCGCGCCAATTACGACACCAAGCGGTGGCTACAGGAACTGGTAATTATAGTACGCATGCGGGTGGCCGCTATGAACTACAAATACTGCCTAATCTGTGCATACATTACCCCAATTTGTGCATGCATTACCCTATTCTACGTTTACCTCTGACGAAAGTTGCTCAACACAATCCGAAGCGACAGGCAACTAAGCTTCTTGTTTCAGCGATCGTGTGGCGGACAGCCACATTGCCTGTTTTCCCCTTCGTTCTCCAAGGCTCGCTGCCCCGAAGTCGTGTCGTCATAAACAACTCTAACAATGCTTTCTTTCACTGGCGCCCCCGTTCCCCGAGGCTTGACCTCGCAGCTGCTTCTGGCTAACCAATAACAGCTGCGTCCACGTCCCTTGTCCTTCGGCGTTCCTGCGGTCCCGACAGTTGACCTCAACGTATTCACCTACGCACATACATGCGCACACACCCGCGTATACACGTGCGTCCAAATAAGCGTGCCTGCCTAAGGGCCACTTGACTAAGATACCCCCGGCCGATGCAGCAAAGACGTCTACAGACGACATCACCTCGGGCAATTGCAATACACCAATGACAGAACACTTGAACTCGCT